CATATGCTTGCTGAGCAGCTGCCCTGCAGCCACAACCGGAGCTGGCAGAGAGGTAGAAAGAATCTGGCATGCGTGGAAAACAACATCAGCCACATCTGCTGATTGCTGGTGCACAAGACAGCATTCCTGATTTGTCCTGACAATTTCTGACAATGCACATGCTAAACACAAACAGTCGCATCACTAAGAAACCAGAAAAAAAACTATGTGCACTGAAACATCCTGTCCTGTTCTCACCACAAGAGCACAATCCATTCCACTCACGCAATATCTTGTCAAACGTGCTGTGCTTGCTGGATATCTGGAACATATTTTCTGCGAGATCCACCGAAGCAGCCACAAGCGGATTCTCCAAGCGGGTCGCTGAGATTTCAAAGTCTATCCAAGCAAGAAGCTCTCCAACAACTGGCTCCACCGAATCAGACTTCAGTGCCTTCTGCACAGATGACTCGTTTGCATTCCCTCCCGAAGCAGGCGAGCGTCCAATCGCACAGCCCATCAAACTGTCTGATAGCTGAGTAACCAGACTGGAATCAGAGGCTGCGCTGGCAAATGCCTGTGGAATACCAGCGGCAGTCGCCAAGCAAGGGCTGTTCATAGCCTGACCCAGACATGACTTGCGCATAACTTGCAGCAGTCAGTATCCTATCAATCAAGCACTCTCTCAAATATGCAGGCATCGTGATCGTGCAACCTTACATGCAACGCTAACATGGGTGCCTCAGCGTAGAGTTTGATGACATATGTTTGCAACGCTGGCCGCATACTGGACCACTTCTTGTGTAACTTGCCTGCCAGCATATTCTCGCCCTCATACGCAAAGTAGATCCCGTGGCGAATGCACGTCTCCGGAATCTGCATCTCAGTCGCCGAGTAGACAAAGACATCCGAGCCATTGTCAGGTGAGGGGCCGGCCTTCGCATCGTCCTCGGTGAAGGACATCCCATATCTCTTTCTGGCTGCGTGCAACGCAGACCTGATCGCTAGCACCAAGCAGTCAATGAAGTACTTGTCGCGTGTGAGGTGTAGTCCATGACAAGAGCTAACTGTGATTTCCGGATTCAGCTTGCTCTCATCGTCAATTGCGACTGACTTGGCCGATGCTGTTGCTTTTGCTCTGGCCTTGCCCTTTGCCTTTACTGCTGCCTTCGCTTTGGGCGCCTTCTTGGATGTGTCCTCAGCCAGCACCCTCGTCGGATCCTTTGTGTTTTTCTTCTGCTCTTTCTGCGCCTTGAGCTTCTCCTGAAGAGCGAACACCTTGCCAGAGACCGGTGTCATTAGAAGCGAAACATCCGTCACAGCACCCTTCTTGAACAGCCACTTGGTTTCTGCGATGTCCAGCGGAATCTTAGTTTGATTTATCACCAGCAGATTTACACAGCTTGCAATGAACTAACCAGATCAACTCTGGTGAAACAACAACGCAACAACATAATAACAGCTAAACTTGACTGGCGCTTGACATTTTCCTGCGCAAGAACGACAACTGCTGCATCAGCGGCGGGCGACAAGTCAGCCAAGCAGCACAAGCCGACAAGATGACCATGGCGATCTTGTGTCTCTCCTGGCTCGTCATTGCGTCAGTGAATCCCTGACACCCAGCAAGCAAGTCTTTCATGACATAGATAGCGGCGTCGTGACTCAACTCTGCGTGCAAAAAGTTGCAGTGTGACTGCGCCAAATACTTGAACTCGTTGAAGCATCCCCATCGCACCAACAAGTTGTAGAGATGGCGGGTGTTCTCGAAATGACGACGGCTGCTGAAGACCTCCGGCCAAGATGATTGCACGAACTCACGATATCTAACTTCGTACTCGGCCATGCGAGCGGTGATCCCGTTCTGCATGCGATAGTTCGCCCACGCTTTCTCAACCTGGGCGTGTCTGCTCTGGATTCACTCATGTGACTTGCAACCTGCAGCCAATAGGCCAATAGCTACGCAAGGACGCTCAGCATGATTAGACTCACTGTATAGAAGAGCAGCATCGGGAACCTTGCAAAGCATCTCCGTGAATGCAGTCTGCGACCCTTTGTGGAACTGGTTGTGGTACGTGATCCTAAGCTGGCGCATGTAAGCATGTATGTGGGATCCCAACGTTCGAGATTCGAAATCCAATGCTCAGGCTAAATCAGCTGAGCCACAAGAACTCAAGTACTGCATCTGGTGTTCGATGATCAAACACGATCACATCCAGCCCTGCCTTGTATGTCAACTTCAGGTTCGGGTAGGCATCTCGGTCAGGTGCAGCCCATGCAGCGTAAAAGGCCTCTGACCTCAACAATGATGACAATGATAACCGCAACTGCAAACCACAGCACTGACAGAAGTGGAGTCTGTAGCACAAACTGCAGAAATTGCAACTACACATGTCAGCAATGTGATCTTAGAACTATTTCATAGAAGCAGTCGCACGGAGTAAGCCTGAACTTTACAGCGCAACTCGCAACTCACAACTCTGCGCAACTCCAACTCAAGGCAAGTAGCAAAGTTCCAAAGGTCAGAGCGAGGTATGCGCTTTCGGAGCTGTCAGTTGCCGGTGCTCTCACCCAAGCCTCGCCTCTGACTCCTTTGATGATGCCTCGGGTCTGCACGCTCTTGATGTACTCCTTCAGCACTGTGTCCTGACGACGCCCGTTCAATGGGTGGCGTATGAGCTGCTTCTGCTGCTCATTGCCCCCAATGAACCATGACAGATTCCTCACACTCGGCACCTGCGCGCGCGGGACCCATGAGACAGTGAGTGTTAACAGTAATGGTTCACGCTATTGACTGATCCAGTGCACTTGTGTCGATTGATTCGCCAATGCATGGATGTTTTGAGTTGCTAGCCGCGCCTTGTAGATCCTTGTGATTTCATCAAGAAGCTCGCGACCCGGTTGGACTTGTGGTCCAAAGACGTCAAGCAAGCTGGCATCCTTACGATACAGCTGGCTAGGGTTCACCACAATGCGCCCCTGCGTCCCCTGCGTCGTATCTCCAGCTCCTGACATGGTACCACGAGCGCTCGCTGCTGAAAGCAACAATGCGCTATGGGCTTCCAGTGATACTCAATTGAATTCGAGCCTAGATCGTGCAAACAACATGCAAACTGAACTTCAAGATGCACAAACAAGGTCACAAGGTTGCTCGTCACTTGCACGTGCTAAGAATGCTCTGCCACTGCTAGTGCGAGATTCAGCACAAGACCCAACGCGATGACTCAATGCAAGACTGTGGAAGAACTGCACTTTTCCCGAATTTCACTCAGCAGTATCGTGTTGAGAGGAACTGCAGTATGATCAGCATAGCTAAGCATAGTAGACCTAGAGTCAAGTATTACACTGTGGTTGCGCAGACTGCACAAATAACCGAGTCTTGCACTCTGCAAGCGCAGTCTTGGCAATGCCCCATGCAGTTCCTGACCTACGCAACCGTCATGTCTAGGACAAACTTGCTTTGTGAAGATTGTTGTGAAACTATCTGGGCGCTGAGCGGATCACGCGATTTCTACTGGCTGCAGAAGCTCTGTTTGAAGTCTGCTGCTGCAAGCCCCTCACAACTTGCAAGAGATCAACGTCCATCAGCACTTGAGTCCAAACAAACATCATGATCGCACCGCTGACGTTACAATGCATCGTGTTTCCACTCATCTTGCATATCTGCCCTCGACTCGGCCAGTCGACAAGTGGGGCAGCTTCACTGGATGATGTGCGGCGTTCTCTCTGGGCGAAGCTGCAGCAAGATTTGTTGTATGACATACTTGGCAGTACAGGGAAACCCTGGAGAGTAGGAAGTTCTCTCGCAGACAGCCACCGGTGGTGCAGCTGTGAATACCAGATGGAGCACGATGATATGATTGTTGGCATAACCTGCAGCGCCACAGTCACTGACAACACACGTTTATCACTGCACACAAGCAACAAATGATTTGGTCTTGCTTACATGACGTGGCCTTGCCGGTTGAAGCCATACATGTCACATCCGGATTCTGATTCAGAGAGCATATGGCGCCCGGGCACCTGTCTTCATACCCACGCAAAAAATCAAGTTCTGACTGTGTCAGCGTATCCTCAAAAGCACCGTCGGTGCCCACAGTACATGGTGAATCTCCCGCCCATCTGCTCCTGGGGCGGCCAGACGCCCAATCCAGCTCCTCCTGCAGCTGCGAGATATCAGTCCTAGGCGCGTTTTGCGTATTAAACCACACAAAGTGTAGTATTGCTTGAGCACAATCAACGCATGGATGCCGAGCTGTGAGAGTGATGTTGGCGTCCAACTAGACTTCAGACAAGCCACTCCCAGAAAAATATCTCCCATGAAGTCTCCAGTCGGCGGTTGAACATGGAAATGAATGGTGTCAGTAGGGATCGGAACCCCAATGACTTGACGCGGTGTCTCCCCCTTGAAGCACAGTTCCAAACATTGAAGCATGTAATGAATGATTTTCACAACAAACAACAATCAAACAACTCCAATCTCATAGCCGCTTGCTAGATCCATAGAACGTAGTACACTGAGCTTCCGACACGCACCATTGGCGGTCCCGCCGGATGGGCCAGCCAAATTCCTGAGGTGTTACCACCCCAAATGCGAACTCGTACTCGGGCAAGAGGGCGATGAGGAGCTCACGTGGGAACGGAACCACATTTTCTTGTACTATTACCGGTTCACGGAGGATCTTGCGATGACTGACCCATGCCAAGAAGGGCGCAAAAGTAGCACCGTGCTCCTTATCTCCGTTTCCTATAGCGCTGTAATCGGTACAAGACGTACCGGCAACGTGGCACAGCGCTACGCGCCGGTCGATCGAGCACTGGCAGTTGTGTCGTAGACAGTGTGCAGACCTCACAATTGCACAAGCATAACATAACACTTTTCCAAGTAGAACTCGCACAGCACACCAATTCAGAGCATGCAGCCTGGAAACAACGTCACAACTCTCTCCGGGTGTTCAGCTACCAGGGGCTGAAGCACTGTCGTCAACCTGCCCTGCGCAAGCAACTCTGGTACCATACGTCTCACCTGTGGAACAATAAAGTCTTGAAGGTCGCCAAACAGGCATTGGGCTGCAGCTGGATGCTGTTGCAGTTCCACTTGGCAGTGGCTGTTCCATTCCATGCCCCATAGATGTTGTGGGTGCTGAGCCTTTATGCTGTGCTCTGTCTCCAGGCCTGCTATGATCTGCAACACTGACGTCCCTGGGGCATCTATGCCCGAGTAGGCTGTAGACAACGAGGTCATGCCGATCTTATCGGCGAGGCCCCGCAGTGCCTTCACAACCGACTCGCTTGTGCCGAGCGAACTCGCAAGGATCCTGTCACTCGCATCCTGATCCTTAAGAGCAGTCAGCTTGCACAAGCTCCAGTCAACAGCATCGGGTCGCTCTGAATATTTGCGAAGCATGGACGATGGCCACCCTCGGGCACAGCGACTGTGTGATCTCAAAAAGAATTAAGTCATGAGAATTAATCAACAGTTAACTTGCTGACAAAACCCGTACTGCGCTCACACTCCCACGTGATAGCATGCAAGCGCAAAACTGCGTGTGTGTGTCATGTAATCTCACCACAGTCACCACACGCCAAGAAACTGAACGCATCGTCGAGCGTCCTGACTACATCTACATCTTGTGCTGCAGTGGTCGGCGCATTGTCTGGCGGCCGACTCGTTGCTGTAGCCCATGTTGCTGCAGCGGACGCTGCTGGTGAAGCTGGTGAAGCCTGCGTAACTGTCTGACAAAATCTAACGACTGGCATCAATATCAGCATCAGTAACAGCCGGCAGTCCGGCAGTACTATCACACTATCAGTCAGGTCACACAATGAAGGGCAAGTGCAAGCAAGTCATCCAGCAATATAATCCAAGGCATATTCAACAATCCATTCCGAATTGATGATGACTCTGACTAACAAACATGGGTCAGGATCATATCATATTTAAACCTAATGCTGAACAACAACTGCAGCAAGTATAATTCTCAGTGAGATTCCTGAGACACGCATTGCTAAGAGAACACAAGGACACAAGGGACCTCCGCCGCCAGAGCTGCAGCATCATGAACTGTCTCTTCCGCAATCCTGATATTGCGTGCCACTGCACTGCTCAACGACTCAACATTCTAAAAACAAACGACTGTAATCAGCATGTGCAACTGCACAACTGGCAACACGAGACTGACATTGATGGCCCATGGCAAGCACACATGATACATGATGAGTGGCTCCGTCGTCTCACGCTGATCATCAGGTGGAGGCGGCATGGCCATAACTTGCTCGGCGCCAGGAATCGAGTCAGCCTTCTCATTCACATTCGAGTCAGCATTGACATCATCCTGTGTTGGAGCCACCGGCGTCTCTCCCGACAAGACACTGCCTTCACGTTCTTGATCGCATGTTGCCAGGGCGTCACTACCGTCTGGATGGTGACCCTGATCATGATCAAAGTCCGGCAGTGCTTCTGCGGTTGACGCGGCACCTCCATCATGTAGTACACCATCAATACTACTGCCTGCAGCGTTGCCTGCGCTCTCTGCTTGCACGGGCGCTATGCTCGACTGAAGCAGATCCTTCCCGGCCTAAGTAATGAACAGCTGACTGAGCAAGACGCAACAACTGATGCATATATTGAATGGTGAGCCAATAGCACATGTGAGTACCTTGCATTGCAAACAAGTAATAATGCTACCACAGCGCCGTGGTGCCCGAAGCCATATCTTCACTGGCAACAACGTCATGCTGCTCATCTGAGGGATCATTTCCTCAGATAACACTACTGCAGGTTAACAGCTTGCATTGGCACTGGCACTGACACTGCTGCTAACCACTCTAACAAAGACATCTGACTTACATGTGCCACAACTTACTGATTGCAGACGGATCGCTTGACTCAATAGATCTGTCATCAGACTTTGTCACTGGCTCATCGCCTACAGACTTGTCACCCAACCCATTATCCTCAATCTCATCCAATGGTGTGTACTTTGTACGTCTACGGCGCTTTGCAGAAGGCTGCTCAGGCGACGCAGCAGATTGCGAGAAGGGCCGCTTCACAATGAATGAAGTAATAGGTTTGAACTTATTCACCGGCACCTTTCCCACACCCCAGCCAGACTTCAATTTTGCAGTCACGGTGGCGTCTGATGGTGCTACCTTTCGCAAATTCACAAATCTGATCATGTTGATCTTGTCTGTGTCTTTGAACTGATTGTTCTTCCTGATGTTTTGAAGACTATCAGATCTTCCAGTCATAGCATTCGCTTCTTTCACGTGGGAATTGCTGCCATCGAATATCACATGTGCACCCAAAAGCTTCGCGGTTGCAACCAGTTTGTATTCTCCGGCCACTGCGCAAGGTGTGACCAATACAATTGTTGGCAAATCTTGCGAAGAAAATTTCTTTGGCACCATCGCCGTCCTGCAATTGCATCCAGCAGAAAAGCATACAGTAAACAAGTGTCAGCGTTCAAGCATTTCAAGCTGTCCTGAACACAACAAACCTCTCAGTGTCTCTGAGAACAGCAGCATTGTCGAGGAGTGTCTTCAGCAAGCTATCTTGATCACGAAGCAGGAACAAAGTCTGTTCCGACTCCGACATAAGCGGTGCAGCCATGGTTGAATGAGTGTTTCATGCAAGGCCACACATTTGGGTAACAATAGTGACACACGCTTCATGCAACACTCAATTTAGCAATTGTTACAAATCGTTCTACGCAATATGAATGATATCAGCACTGTGATTTCCAACGCGTGTTTAACCTCTGTCCACATTTATGATGTGCCCCTGATAAAGACACTTGAACTCTTGAACCGCACGCTTGTCATATGACTGAAGCATATGAGCAGCTGACCAACTCGGATCAGTGCATCGATGCTCAACAACATACAGCATACACCGCAGAATGCCAAAGCACACAAAGCGTAATCGCCAAGCAATGTTTGCAAAGCATGGCGGATCGCACCCCAAATGACTGCCTGATCAATCTCGCCAGCGTCCCACCTCGTGTGTTGTTATTGTGCACTCAAA